ACAATAAGAACTGGATGAAAGCAATAACTTTGAATAAAGATCTCGATGTATGCAAATAAGGCTGGAGAAAAAGAGGAATAACAATACATGAGGAAAAATATCCGCAATTAAAATAAACATAAACAATAATAATAATAAACAATAAACATAAACAATAATAATAAACAATATTAATCAATGCTTACAGCAACTGCAGTGATGTCCATGACATTAAGAGCACTCATTTAAAATTAGTTAATGACATTGTGTTGTTGTTGTTGTTGGCGCATCTGTTAACGTAAGAGTTATAATGTTGGTTTTGTTGTTGTTGTAACTGTTAATGTGATTGGTTAGTGTTGATGTTGTTGATGTTAATGTAACAGTTTTTGATATCTTTGTTACTCTTTTTCCCTCGTTCGTTCACGCAAGACAACAGACAGACAGACATTGTTATCGATAACTCTGTTGACAATTAAAATAAAGTTGCTAATGATGCCAACTAGAATAAATGGAGGAGGTTGAAGACGACGACGACGATGACGACGATGATGATGATAATAATGATAATGATTGCGATGACGAAAATAGTGATGAAGATGATGACGACGACGATGTTAACAGATCTTGCCGTCATTTCATTGTTGAATCCTCATAGTAGTAACCATTTTATAACCATTTGTATATCACCATCATCATCATCATTCTCGCCAACATCATCATCATCATTCTTTTCTTCCTTTTTTTTCATCATCGTGTCATCCTCGTTCTTTTCTTCCTTCTTCTCATGACATCATCATGACATCGTCGTGACGTCATCGTCAAGTAGTACTATCGTCATGACGTCATCATCGTCGTCGTCATCATCACACGTTTTCATTTTCTCTTTCGCGCTGGAACACGCATCCCCATTTCTGAGAAAATGAAACGGACAATAAAAATGGCTTGCGGGTAGTGGAATGAATCATAAACATCTAACTAAATTCAACTGCATTCGTCGTATGTGTGGAATCGTAAACATCTAACTAAATTCAATGACATTTCTTCTTATGTGACGAATCACATGTGTAGAATCATAAATATCTAGCTAAATTCAATGACTTTTATATGGGACTGCTAACCAAACCATAAACATTTGAATTGAAAGCATTCTTCTACTCTATTTGAAGACATTTGTGTATGCCGAATCATAAATATCTAACTAAATTCAAAGACATTCTGTGATGAATAATAAACATCTGACTAAAATCATTTACATTTGCAAGTGACGTACAATAATCATCATATTACGAATCAGAATTATCTAAATTCAAAGACATTTGTTTGTGACGAATCTGAAACATCTAGCTAAATTTAGAGATATTTGTTTGTGATGAAAACATCTAGCTAAATTGAATGATATTCTTTTCTGATGATTCATAAACATCTAATTAAATTCGAAGACATTTGTATGTGCCGCATAGTTGAGACAATAAACAATTCAATCAACCGCGACTAGACCGACCAGACGAATGTTTAATTGAAATCACAGTATATAAACTGAGTTTTTGCCAGTAGGTGTGTGTTTGTGTGTGTGTGCGTGTGTGCGTGTGTGCGTGCAAATAGCATTTCTTTAAACTACACAATGTCAATTACTATAAATAAAAAAATATAATAGAAATAATAATAATAACACAATAATAATACAATAATAATAATAATAACACAACAATAATAATAATAATAATAATAATAAAGGTAAGTAATCAATGCAATATACTAGCGCACACATACATAACAATATTATATAGTTCATGAATAGCAATGAGCTCGTAAATGATGTTCGTCGTTGTCTTTTTAAATGTCTTTTGTATTGTGTGTGTGTTTGTGTGTATGTGTTTGTGTTTATGTGTGTTTGTACATGTGTGTGTGTGTGTGTGTGTGTGTGTATGTGTGTAAATGCATATATGAAAGCATAAGAAAATAATTGAATGTATATGGAAACATTACAAAATGATTGAATTGACTAATGACTGAATGAATGAACTGATAGATGAATGAATGAATGAATGAATGATCAAATGATTAAATGAATGAATAAATAATTAACGAATGAATGAATGAAAAAATGAAAAAATAAATAAAAATACGACATGGGTTATCTTTGAATTTGAAACAAAGGACTGCTAAAGAGACGACAGCCAAGCTGTGCACGATGAGCTTGAGGCTCTTTTGCATTCCAGTCTAGTTTCTCCAGCACGGAAGGACAGGACGACATTGTTATTTTAGGCTACCTTTTCGTTTTCGTAAATAAAAATTTTCAGATGTTTGTAAAATTATGAAGAGGAAAATGTCAGTCAGGTTTGCATTCTGCTTAAGGCGACATTTAAGGCTTCATTCATGGTGTGTGTGTGTGTGTGTGTGTGTGTGTGTGTGGGCATTCTAGTTTCAGTGCATTTAATCACTATGATGTCTATATTTTTTCCTCAAAGACACCGACGACGATGACGACGACGATGATGATAATAATATAAACGGATGATGATGATGATGAAGATGATGATGACAACCTCAAAAAATGACTACTACGACGATGACGATGATCAACAAACCGATGTTGAAGATGATCAGCGAACGATGATGACGATGATGACTACAACGACGGCGATGATGATCGTAGCAACAAAACAGTCGTATCTGCTGCTGTGCCGAAGTCAATTCGACAGGATTAGAACATCACATAAATGAAAGTGGGAAGGTGGCAATGATGGTGACGATGACAATGATGATCGTTATTATTATTATTATTATTAACTGCGCAAATCCAGAGGTCTGTCGATTTGAATTACATGAATGCCGGTCAGTTTCAGTCCTCTTAAAGTCGCTTCATCCCGACGCTGTCCTGGTTCACAATGATGACATCATCGAACTTCTAGAATTAGCAGTGTGTCGTGAAAGAAATTTGACAAAGTCGAAAGAATGCAATCTTAACAAATATAATCCATACCTGCAATTATGTTTAATGAGCGAATTTAATAGCTTCAAAAATTTAATAAAAACTTTCGAAATTTCTATATTAGTATTTTGTGAAAGTTTGAATTTATCATTAGCCAATTTAGTTTGGTCTAAACATTTTAGAATCAATTTGACAAATTCTGTTTCATTATCATCATATATGATACATTGTGACAGAAATACAGGTTGAATCCCATTTTAAACTAAACCAACATCAACAATTCTATTAGTAACTCTACTCAGTCGGATTGGATGACGAGCAAAATAGACTGCCACTTTGATAATTCCAACTCTATTTCTTTTCATAATATCGATAGTTCAGTTTTGATTGAGTAAACAGCAGTGCTAGCATCGCTAATTTTTTCAAGTTGACTGGCTGCAAAAATAAATAAATAATCAAATGAATGTGGAGTCCTCCCTCCCAAAAAGGATTGGGAAAGGTTTTCCGGCTTGATCCGGCATATCCATTCAACACTCAACTTTTACTGGTAAATTTCTTTTTTATCTTTGATTTGTTCACTTTTATATGTTTTTCATATTTTTACAATGCTAAAATTGTATATCTATTTTAAGTTTTTCTGAAATTTTTAGGTTTTCACCCAAACAATCAGATCTTTATGTCATTTGTCCGTTTCATCGGCATTATTATTATTATTATTATTATTTTTTGTTCTTAATATTATTATTTGGATAATTACTGTTATTTGCGTCACATTCATCATTGCAATCGTTACAACAAACGCATTTGTCATTGGCGTATCATCAAAAGAATCGCTATCATCAAAAAATAAAAAAAATGTCTTTCTGCCTGTTGTAGCCGGCCTAAAAGTATTGATCATTATCATCATCATCGCCGACGACATCGTTATCATCATCATCATCATCTTTATCATCATCGTCGTCGTCATCGTCCTTGTTGAAAACGTCATCAGACAAAATGCCAACAAGTTGTGTTGCACAGATCTGACAATAATCAAATCAAAAGCAGAATTTATATCTGCTGCCCGGCAAACATCGTCCTACAGGAGATTTCATTTGAGATTTCAATTGAAAGCTAGATAAATAGAACAAATATGTGTTCTTTCGTTCGTTCGTTCGTTCGTCCTTCATTCATTCATTTATTTGTTTTTTGGTTCGTTCGTCCTTCATTCATTCATTCATTTGTTCGTTGGTTCGTTCATTCGTTCGTCTTTTATTTTTTTTCTTGTCATCTTTCGTCTGCATCTTAATTCATTCATTCGTTTCTTCGTTCGTTCATTTGTTTGTTCGTTTGTTTGTTCATTCATTCATTCATTTTTCATTTGTTTGTGGATCATTCATTCAGTTTTTTTATTCCTTTTCATTCATTCATTCATTTGGTCTTTTCACTTCTTCCACTTTTACATCTCTCGAATCACAATTTCTGCCTCCAAATGTTATCTATCTCTTGTTTTTCTAATTCAAGTTTCTTCAATCATGGTCGGTTTTGTTGTGTGTGTGTGTGTGTGTAAATGTTATTATTATTACAAATTCAAGTACATATTATGGATCAGAACGATTGTATGCAAATGTTTTTTGTATCCACAAGTGGGTAAGCGTACACGCAAACGCACACACGCCCACAAACACGCACACACGCACAAACACACACACAAACACATTCACACGTACAAACCCGTACAAACATACACACATATTGTTATTATTACAAATCAATTTATACAGCGCCATATTATTCTTTTCTCAATTTTTATCCAGTGTGGCTCGTTTAAGATTGGAGTCACATGATCAAACTTCCGATTTTTTGTGACAAGTTTTGCAACTCGATTTTGAATTGACTAAATTGCAGTTATTGACTTGTCAGGTAGCTTAAAGTACAAACTGCTAATCTACTCTAAATCTAACAAAAGCGTGTACCAATGTTTCCATGGCAGATTGGTTCAAATAGTGTCGAATCCTGTATAATCTTCTGAGATGTATCTTATTTGCAATTGCTAGCGATTTAATATGACCTTTCATTAAGAGCCTGCTATCCAACTAAACACCCAAATTTAAGGCTGTAGAAACAAATGACACCTCAACGTCAACCACCAGTTCCTTTGATGCCCAAATTCCGGACAGTTCCTATAGATTCTTTCCATCTCCCTACAGAATCGCTTCAAACTAGGTGCGGCATTTATCTGTTTACAATAAATCACCCACGCCGACACCAAATCGTCAGAAATTTGTTTTATTTCACTACTCAACAGAGCAAATTCATGATCACCATCATCAGTTTGGCATTTGTTCACCACAGGAGAATTCGCCAGTGCTTCAACAAAACATCTTTCCTTCAGGCCCTTCTTCGATCTGGCATCAGCTCTCCCCAACCTTGGGCAGACTTGAGTCAAAGCCAGTCTCACACTTACATAACTGTCATCTGAGTACACTGAACACGGACCAATCTTTGTATCAAGAATCATGTGAGCAAATCACTAGATCCAACGTACCTCCAGACACATGCGTTTGTCGATTGACATGAATCACCAGCTGGAACATATCAAGTATTTCATGTAGTCGTAGAGTAATAGGACTATCTCTCTTTTCAACGTGAATGTTAATATCACATATATATATATATTTAAAAAAAGAGTTGAAAACATTTTTTATAATTTATGAAACTTTGAAGGGAGGAATTTAATTGAAATCTCATCAAGGTTATTAAAGCAAAATTAATATTTTGGGGACATTGAATGAATTTTAAATGAAATTGTAACTGGTAGAACCTTTTTCTTCTCATGAAGAAATGAAGAATCCAGAAAAATGCATGCAAGATTTTAAGTTGCGGGTGTTGTCTTCAAAAATTTTTGCTCTGTGAAAATAAAAATTTTTGTGTGGAAGCGATTTTTTCAATGAACATTATCTTCAACATTATCATCATCGTCATCATCTTCTTCTTCGTCGTCATCATCGTCAACATTGTCGTCATCCTCATTCATCCAAACAAAATTTTGTTTCAATTTAATTTCAGACTTTTAAATTAATAAAATATAAATATATAAAAAAACATTTCAATAACTGACTTAGTTCGAATGAAACACGCAATCATATAATATAAGGCTTAGAGTTAATCTTCAAACACACACACACACACAAACACAGAGAAAGAGAGAGAGAGAGAAAGAGAGAGAGAGACACACACACACAAACACACACACTCATTCTTTCATTTCATTCATTCCTTCATCCGTTGAAATATTTGATTTGATTCGGTCGTCACTTTTCAATCGAGAAAATTTCAAGTTTGGCGGCGTCTTTACGTCATCGTCATCTTCATCATCAACATTACCATCGTCATCATTCTCATTAATATTTTTATTTAATACTTCTCTCTCTCTCTCTCTCTCTTTCTCTCTCTCTCTCTATCTATCTATCTACTATCTATCTCTTTCTCTCTCTTTCTTTCACTTTCATCTTCAATTCTTAAACATATAAAACGTAGACACACTCTAGCATATAAGCATTCACTCACATAAGCACACACACACACATATACATACACACACACACACACATACACATACACACACACGCACGCAAATACACACACATATACATACACACACATGCTCACACACACGCAAATATACACACACACACGCACATACACACACAAACACAAGCACACATATGCGCCAAAACCATATAATTTCGCGCGCGTATCAACATGAAAGGCGAAGATAGCGGCCAACTAATTATTGAAGTCATGCAAGGAGGTGTGAAATGAATAAAGTAAAATAATATTACGCAACAATTATCATTATTATTTGTTGTTATTATTAATATTATTTGTTATTATTATTATTTTTATTATTACTAAATAAATAAAATCAAAAAACAAAACCTTCTTTTCTTCATTCGCCTGGTTGTAGTTCTAATTTTTCCCCTAAGTCCAAATGAAGAAAGGAGAAAATAGCATCGATTGGCGCATGGAGAGAGAAATGAAGGACAGAGAGATAGAAAAAGAAATAGATAGAAAGAGAGAGAGAGACGGAATGAAAGAAAGCTAAAATGAAAAAGAAGAAGAGCGAGATAAAAAAAAAGGAAAAAATGAGACAGACGAACAGCTGGAAAATGATAGAAAGAGAAAAAGAGAAAAACAAATAAAGAGAGAGACAGACAAAAAGAGAAAAAGAGAGAGAGAGAAAGCAAGTGAGAAAAAGAAAAAAATCAATTATTTAGCGGCTTTTTCAACGGGCGGGGGCCATAAAATTAATTTGCCACTAATAAAAAACAACGCAGAGTACACTGCACAGCACTGCACACTGCCATATAAACAGTGTTTTTAAAATATATAAATTAAAAAATTAAAATAACAAGCCTTGATTATAAATGTTGTTAATATTATTACTATTATTATTGTTGTTGTTGTTGCTGTTGTTGTCGCCTTTTTGTATTATGATTATTGTTGATATTTAGAATAATAATTTTTAAACATTTTTTGCCATTGAAATTAATTGCATAAAAGTTCTAAGAGATTACCTAGCCTTTAGTAAATGAAAAATTATCAATCTTAGGTAAAAAAAAACTTGAACAACCATAGATGGATTAGCCAAACCACCAAGGAAAAATAATCAAAACAGCCATAGACAAATGAGCAAAACAACCATAGATAAAAGAACTAGAAATCCATAGATAAATAAGCTAAATACCTAACAAACAGTGCATACATAAAACATTTGAACTAATTGAGACTAAAAACAGCACGACACGAAACATCGGTCACGTGATATGAGAGCTCCTCCATGTAAAATACCATCAATACAAATATAAATACCACTATATACAAATATCAATACACATACACAGATAAAGCTTAAAGAGAAATAAACACAGGCAACCACACTCTCACACACATACATATACAAAATTTGTTAATTGTTATCTCTTTTTTTATTGAACTGTTTGTTTTTTTATTTGGCTATATTGTCATACTGCTAGCTCTTCACCGTTCTACGACGGTTACTGAACGAACGACATAGTTTGTTCTTGGGAAATTCTTTCTGTTTCTGTAAACTCGCTCGCTCAACGTTAAATAACTCGATATTGTTCATGTACATAAAATAATGAGAGATGACTTTAATTAGGGACTTACGTGTGTTGAGTTTAATTAGGGACTTGAGTATTAGTTAGTGTTTAAAATGTTATAAAGTCTAATAATCGAAATCGAACGAGAAACGACTCACCCATTATCGTTAATAATATTTTTATTGTTTGATCGCAACTAAGTATATTTTAAGGAAGTAAGATAACCAAACCTTAAACTGAAAATTAAAATATAAAATATAAAGAGTACCGCAAATAATAATAACGTGTAAAAGTGTATATGTTGTGCTCAAGAGCTTTAGGCGTGTTAAAGAGATAACTCTGACTTAACTGAGATAGCTCTTAACTTATGGGCTCGCCAATTATATACTAGGAAACCTTGCTCCCCAGAGCTTAACTAGTTGTCTAACTCCTTCTAACCAGTCCTGTTAATTTGCTGTCTCGTCTTGAACTACTTTTATAACAAAGCTATCATTATAAATACATACTTACTTTGACACATATCTATATACAATTTATATTCAGTTATACCTCTTAACCTAAATTATCATCTACATAATGATATGTTTGTTTAAATATTTACTAATTTTTAATTAATAATCATTAACAAAAGCCAAAAATATACAACTCAGGCAAACAAACAACAACCAACGAATCAACAATAACATAGACATAAATAACTAAACAAACATAAATAACAATATAAACAAACCAAACCAAACAACATAAACAGCAACAACAGCAGCAGCATTAACAACCAAAAACAACAACAACAAACAACAATAACAATATAAACAGCAAAAAACCAACAAAAAATGTTCGCACTAACCAGAAAACCAAAGTTTATAAGCACCAGGAATAATTTAACGCACGTTGAAGCACACGTAGAGGACACGCAGTGCTTCTTAACCCATTGCCACTTATCCATAAAAATTTCCACCCTGCTTCTGTCTCTACTCTCTGAAGTTTGCGCCCCTATTTGCTCCATCGTTTTAATGGTTTTTATGGGGACTTGCCTTGGCGATGATGAGGTTAAGTTGAAGTGACAAGTTGTCTTCATTAGGTTTGTAGCATGGTTGTTTTTTTTTTGTTGTCGTTGGTGTCGCTGCTGATGTTATTTTTTATGTTGTTGTTGATTTAATTGACGTTAAAGTGTTTGCTGATTTTATTTTATTTAGTTTGCCATCTTTCAAATCAAAAATGTTTCACAATCTTCAAAACATTTTGTCACGTTAAGAAATAATCATGAAGCTAAATTAACGTGACCACTTCTATTTTTTGAGAATGTTTTCAACTTTTCGTTTCTGTATAATTTTGGATTTACTCAACATAAAATTGCTTCAGTGATCTATCTGATCGTTTTTACTGACGATGTTATGTTAACGTTAACCGCTATTCAGTTTAAAGTCATTTTCAACTTTATTTTTCAAACTTACTGAGTACAAAACAGAAATTTCAAACTCTAACCAGATACTTTCTACATTAAAACCTGCTGCATAATCAACAACATTTCCCTATTTTTAGCTTCTTATCAACAATTTATATAACTCAAAAGCAAGCAACCACACAAACACGATATTAAATCCCAAACTCGCTATTTTATAATTTTTTTTTACATAAAACATACACGCTATATCAAAGAAGGTGTTAGAAAAAATCTTCGAAATATGAGGCGAGCATGTACGAACGGGCCACCGGGCTATTTATATAGGCCTCAATTTTGCAATTTTGTGAAAACGTGTGCGATACATTTGAAATGGTAGGATTTTTTTTTATATTTTTCGCGGTAGCCAATAAAAAATAATATTTTTAGTTTTATCTTTTAATATGATAACAATAATAAAATAAATACTTGTTTAATTTAATTTATTTATTAAATATTTGATATATAAGTATGTATATATTTTCTGTAATAAGCTCAAAATGTTTAATAAATTGTCAAAATTAAACTATATTATTTAACTATATATATTATAAGAAGCATGTACAATACGTAAACCATACGTACATAATATAATAATGGTCACTTATATCATCTCACGTTCAAACATTCGTCTGAGGACTTTATATACATATTGATACTTCTCTGATAATAAAATGCATTTATTACTACATTTTCTTGTAATGCACTGCTATACACATACGAATACAAACACACATGTATGTATGTAAATGTGCCTCTCTGTGTGTTTTTCTGTGTGTGTGTGTGTATGTATGTGGTGTGTATGTGTGTGTGTTGTGTGTGTGTGCTTGCGCTATATATATTCCGTCATAAAGTGACGTGATTGCATACAGTTAGTGGGAGGCTTGCGTGAGTGCTTACCAATGTACTTGAACGAATCGCTTTAGGCGTACAACGCATCAAAACAACCTTACTAAATGTTAGCTCTGTGTCACTTTGTCTCTTTTTTTATGAGTCACATCTCCCTGCCTTTATGTCTCATTTTGCTTCTTTCCTATGTCTCATTTTGTCTATTTTCTGTCTCGTTCTGTCTATTTTCTGTCTCGTTCTGTCTATTTTCTGTCTCATTCTGTCTATTTTCTGACTCGTTCTGTCTATTTTCTGTCTCATTCTGTCTATTTTCTGTCTCATTCTGTCTATTTTCTGTCTCATTCTGTCTATTTTTTGTCTCATTTTGTCTATTTTCCGTCTCAATTTGTCTATTTTCTGTCTCATTTTGTCTATTTTCTGTCTCATTCTGTTTTGTTCTTTATTTTATGTCATTTTTGACGTCGTTTGGTGTGAATGTTAACATTTGAATGAAGCAAAAATTTTAAGTTTAATTGGGAAAGTAAAGAAATCAGCATGATCCAGCTGACATGGTGTCATCACCTGATGTATGCTTTAAAGAGAGTATTTTTTCATGATTTCATCCTTACAATTAACGCTCCATCCTCACAATTACACTTATAATTATCCATTATAAGTAGCAGGTTAGAAATAAATTTGATACAACTATCATCGTTATCATTCGTATCATCGTTTATATCATCCATCATCACGTTCGCCATCGTCGTCGTCATTATTAAGCGCGAGTGCTATTTCAAAAGCAATAATATGGCAATGTCCTCATCATAATCATTAAGGCAATCACCGGATCATAAATAATAAAATCATTATCATCCATCACCATCGTCATCATCATCATCTTCACCATTATCTCCATCAACATCACCATCATCACCATTATCACCCTTCTTCTCTCATCACGATTGTAATTATTAGAATTTAATATTTTTTGTTCGTTTGTTTATTCATTCATTTCGCTATTCATTCATTCATTCATTTATCTGTTCAATCAATCAACCTTCCATTCATTTATTTGTTCATTTGTCCATTTGTTCATTCATTTATTTATTCATTCATTCATTCATTTACTCAGCACTCATCCACTTGATTTAACTGCTCGTCAGTCAGTCAGCAGACAAATTCATTGTGCAGCACGTGCTAACAAATTGATGCGTGTCTAAACGGCAGAGTATTATGTGCATGAATGAGTATATAGATGGATGGATGGATGGAGGATGGATGGATGGATGGACGGATGGACGGATGGATGGACGGATGGATGGATAGATAGATGTCAATGCGAAAAAATGGGTAGATGAATTAATGAAATGAATAAACGAACGTATAAAGAATGAGAAAATGAATGAATAAACGAAAATGAATAAATGAAGGGTTGACTGGATAGAAGATTGACTGAATGAACAAGCTAGTTTATAAACGAACGAACAAATGAATGAAAAAATGTAAGGCAAACAACAAACGAACGATGGAACGACAGACAGATGAATAAATGAATGAATGATAAATTGATGGATGAAGGAGGGATAAATATTTCTAAGCTTGTTTATTCATTAATTTATTTCAACTGCTATCTCTCTCTCTCTCTCTCTCTCTCTCTCTCTCTCTCTCTCTCTCTCTTATCACACTTGCGTATTAACGTGTGATGATAACTTCTCGAAATATTTTCTACATCAATGACTCAGGTCAATATTTTGAATCTTTCCTAATCAAAGAAGTTTGGAAAACCAGCCATCTTGCCATCTGACGAGAAAGAAAAGACTTTTTCCTGTTTATCTAAATTGTGACAAAATGTCTGAATTTGACGTGTGTGTGTGTGTATGCGTGTGTGTGTGTGTGTGTGTGTGTGTGTATGCGTGTGTGTGTCGTACTGTAAGAATGAATGACATTAGTAGTAGTAAAAGTAGTAGTAATAGTGATAGTGATAACAGTAGTAACGATAGTAGCTGCAATGGCAGTAGAAACGCTTGTAGTAGCAGCAGTAACAGTATTAACTGTAGAGTGCTAATGTCAGTAGTAACTGTAGTAGGTGTGTGAAAGTAATAGTAGTAGTAGTAGTAGTAGTAGTAGTAGTAGTAGTAGTAGTAGTAGTAGTAGTAGTAGTAGTAGTAGTAGTAGTAGTAGTAGTAATAGTAGTAGTAGTAGCGTTAGCAGTGGCAACAATTAGATTGAATCCTGCCAGCCATAAAGATTAGATGACACGTCTTCAGTTTCTCAACATCGATCAACACTATCTCATCACTTCGGCAATAAACAAACTGGTAACTGAACTTTTTTTTGGTCTCAAATTTAAATTTTAAATTTAAATTTTGGAATGAAATTTAAATGACATTTCAGTCAGTTAAAAATTCTGAAAAAATGTAATATTATATAAGAAGTTTAATTAATAATTACAAAATAATATAAACTTATATGTAAGCTTATATGTATGTTGAGTTGATAACTTCTTCTCTCTTTCTTCACACATAGTGAAAAGAAAAACACATTCAAATCTCGATTTTTAAGACATTTATTTTTCAAAATATTTCAAAAAATTCATTCAAAAAAGTGTTTTCTTAATATCTCCATGACATTAATTTCTACGCTAAACAGGAAAAAAAATTTGAAAAATAAATTTGAGAACCAACGAACGATTTAGGATAATTGCATAAGCAATACATTTATAATATAGTTTGTGCATTTCGTTTCGGCCTAAAATATCGTCTCGGTATAAAATTTTGTTTCGACATAAAAATTCATCAAGCTAAGATAATTTTTCATCCTAATTCATCTTAAAATAGAAATATAGAATTTCTTAATTCTCTCTGAAGTTAACAATATTTTTATTCAAAATAAAATATTCAGCATTTATCTCTATCGGAATAATCTCGTACCTAATTCTTAAGTTTGCAAAAAAATAATTTACTCAAATAAAACGCTAAATTTTAATTTTTTAGAGTTTATAATTGCTATTATTATTATTTAATTATTTATTATTATTCGATTTTTATTCAGCCCCAGCGCCATATATGGGCATTCTCTCTTCATCCCAGTGCAAAATTTTTTGAGGTTTGATTCTGTCAACTGGAGATATGAACTGCGGTCCTGTTGGTTGATTCGTTTGTTGGTGGTTGATTGATTCGTTTGTTAGTTGATTGACTGATTGGTTTGTTGGCTGATTGATTGGTTTGTTGACTGGTTGATTGATTGGTTTGTTGGCTGGTCGGTCAGCCGGTTGGTTGATGGGATGGGTTGGATTGTTAATTGATTGATTGATCGAATTATTTATGTTTGGTTGGTATTGTTGTAACTCTTGACTTCGTACCTACCAACACCGATGTTATAACTTCAATGATCTCTATATTTCCAACACCAGTGTTGTAGCTTCCAACGATCGTCAAGAGTTAGGTTCAAGATTTCCGATAGATGAACATAACTACTTCAAACGTAAACGCAAAGTTGATGACGACCGGATATTTTGCTGCGCAATCTTCATTGTTTGATTAGTTTAATACCAAAGGTTTATCAGATTGTTGGCCTTTGGCAGATTGTTGGCCTTTGGTATGATGGTCTAAGGTCTTATTCAATCTTCTCTAAATTCTCAACTGGCTAATGCAGAACAGTACTACATTATGACGTAAATATATGTTAAAATATTTTTTTCTCCCATGGTCTGGTGGGTGATTCCGCCCCCGAACTACCCCCCCTCTCTGGATTAGATAATTCTTTTACTACTAATAATAATAATTATAACCATAATTATTAATTTAGTTTTTATCATAATTAAAATTATCATGAAGTGTACGAACCGGTAAAAATTTGGTATTTGTCATCGTAGGATCTCTTGTCTTTTTGGCGCTCGTACTTGCTGAACATCTCAACCTTCGCCTATAATTGAAACATTTAATTTTAATTATTGAAATTATGGTTATAATAATTATGGTAATAGTTATCATTATAATTATTAATAATTATAATGATGATTATTTTTAAAACTTACGGGCGCTCCGGCATATTTAGCCTGAATTTTGTCGACTGAGCTGAAAATAATTAAAATTACCCAATCAATGACTTTAATTGCAAAATAAATTTAGTAAGTTAAATTTTGTGCGTGCGTGTGTGTGTGTTGTGCGTGTGATTAACTAACTAATTAATTAAAAATAACAATGTAATTAGTTTAAATGCAATTAATAAGAAACTAAAATGAAGTGATTCATCTTCGTCTAACTCGTCTGCTCCTCCAATGCGCTTCAGTCCTCCCTTCCTACAAGTTCAACATTACGAAATTTGTTTTCGTTTTATGAAAATCAATTTTGTTTTAGTTTAAATAATTTTTAAATTGCGGTAAAATGTTTAAAAAATGAACTTAAATGTTTCATACGTTCTTGCTTATAAACAAACCAAACTATTTAACAAATGGATTGTCAAACTATTGAATGAATGATTAATCGCTTAACCAATAAAAATTTTAGAAAACAAATGATGATAATAATTGATTTATTTTTTAGTTTAAATAACTTTATTTAAATCTACAAAAAACGGACTTCAACCTAATGGAAGAATATCAACCTGATATAAATAAAAAATAAAATAAAATGGACCTACCCAACTTTGTTGGCCTGGCGAGCTCTCTCAGCCAAATCAACTAACTGTTTGTTGTGTGGGAATTTTGAAAATGAAATAAAATAAGTGGCTGAGTGAGAAATTTATAAATCGAAATGCTTCTTTTAGAATGAAAAATTAAATAATTGATTGCGTGTGAGTTTAAAAATTTTGCAATTTTATAAATATATGTTGTTTTATGATTTAAATTGCCAGGATAATTGTATCACGTCATTCACAATTAGATGTTAATTTTATCAAAATATTCACAATTAAATATTAATTATGTTAAAATATTCAAATAACAAATATTAATGACTCATTTCGTTATATTGAAAAACTGAATATGTAATTAGCTACTCACAGCGGCCTGTTGAGATTTGAACCTCTTCTCTAGGTCGTATCTTTCACCTGTTTTAAAACATTTTCAAAACAAATTAACAAACGATTTTGTTTTCCAAAAATTTGGCGGATTCAGTTTAAATTTGAATATTCGCCAAACACCACCTCATTGAAAAATTTTTAACAGGGTAGCATAATAACACGTGAGAATAACTTATTATAAACAGTAGTCGAGCGATGAAATTTTTCTTTGACTGCTATCACGGAGTCATTTGAATTTGGAAAATGAAATGAGCAACTGAACTTGGCACTGAAATCGGCAAATAGGTGAGGTTCAAAGTTGAAAATTCCAAAAACCTTCCAATCTGGCAATTTTCAAAAAATTTTCAAACATTCCAAAAACCTTCCAATCTGGCAAGCCACGAGTGAAATTCTTTCGCCTTCTCCGCAAGTTTGGCCTGATCCAATCCGTCGATATCCAGAGGTTTGATCCTCTGCCTCAAGATTGCTTTCTTCTCTGCTTCCAATTGCTCTTTCGTTTTTTTACTTTTTTCTGCGTCGCTCTGTTATAGTTTTTTGTTAAATTAAAAAACAAATATTTTCTCGTATTTTGTGAAAGAGTTCAATTAATTTTTAATAAAATTTTCAAAGATTTGACGCTGCAAACTAACTTTTTCTTCATTCTCTTTGTCTTCTTCATCCTTTAAAGATAACGAATTTGTCGATTGTTATTAATTACAAAATTATAATATAAGCTGGCTTTTATTTTAACTTGCATTTTTTAATAACATAAAATTAAAAAACTGTAAAAATACAGAGTATAAATAAATGAATAATGTTTAAGGTAGATAAAAAAGATGTAGTCATTGAACAATACAATTAGATTAGTGGATTATGTTGTTATGAATTGCAATTTTTAATAATATTTTTTTCATAGTTGGAAAAATGAAATAACTTCTTCATCCCCGTCAGCTTTCCTGGTTATGACAAAATTTCTCTTCTGAGGTTGCTTCCACTTTTCAAACTCGGCCATCTTCCTGGCTCTGTCCTTCTGCTTCTTCTCCTCATCTTCAATCTTCTGTCTCCTTTTCGCTTCCTACCCAAGAAAAAAAATTATTTATTGGTTTTCTTATTTATAAATGGAAATAGTTTTAAAATTAAAATAATATGTCTCAATTGGAGTCGTCGTGAATGTAAACTGAACTGTCGACAACCTAAAAAAATGAATTTCAAAAAATGAAATGTAGATAATTTTCCAACCTCAGCTGCTTTCCTCCTCTCATCTTCAGCCGCTCTCTCTGCTGTCAGCCTCTTCTCTTCAATCTCTCTTTGCTTTTTTCGTTTCTCCTAATGAAAAATGGAAAACAAAATTTTTGTGTCTACAATTGTTATAAACCTTCTTCAATTAAGATATTTGAAATGAACAGTGTTTGATTGCTTCTTGTTGAATATTTAATTTGATAGCTGTCGTTTTATCGGATGCTTGCTAGCACCTAGCATTGCATACAAATAGTAAAACGTTTTAGTAGGTACAAGTCCAATAAAGTCGCTTTTCTTTAATGGGTAACTTGAAAAATCCATGAAGTAAGAGAGAGAGAGAGAGAAAGAGAGAGAGAGAAAGAGAGAAATAGGGAGAGCACAAAGAATGTGAATCAACCAATTCCCAAAAATTCTCTCATAAATATCAAACAGAAGAGTTAAGTACATAAAAAATCTCATTTTAAAATTTTTTCTACAAACGCTTCTCCTTTGTAGTCTTTAATGGGTAACTCGAAAAATCAATGAAGTAAGAGAGAGAGAAAGAGAGAGAGAGAGAGAGAGAGAGAGAGAGAGAGAGAAAGGGAAATAGGGAGAGCACAAAGAATGTGAATCATCCAATTCCCAAAAATTCTCTCATAAATATCAAACAGAACAGTAAAGTACATAAAAAAATCTCATTTTAAAATTTCTCCTACGAACGCTTCTCCTTCGTAGTTCATCAATCTCGTCCTCCATTTTTTCTCTTTCCTGCCTGTTGAACTCCAGCAACTCCTTCGCCGATTCATCCAGACCGCTCGAATTTTGCTGGCGTTTGGGCTCCTGGCGTTTCTGAGGTCAGATAATTTTCAGTTAAGTACAAGGTTTACAATTATAATTAACGTAATTTTATTAATAAACAACAATAAATTTTGTTAGCTGGCTGGTCATTCGCATTCAAACCATCTCAATAAATTAGGAAGTTACGCGTTGAAAGAACTTACGGTTGTTTGGTTATTTATGTCTCAACAATTTCTAGCAAATGATTTTTATAAAATTTTTAGACATATTCTGGTATCTTAATAATTTTTAATTGAATAAATATAAATAATTCATATGTGATTTTAATTGTAAACTGTTTTTAATTCAAAATTATTTGGGCTTTGATTTGAAACCGAGACTTAATGCATTCATTATAATGATGCTGAACAATTACATGCTATCAGATATACTTTGCCGATTTATTAAATCCAAAGAGAACATGTTAGAGATCATTCCACTGAAGTCGATGATAGGAATGTTCGTTAATTAACATTTCGGCCTATCGATCATTTAACATTCACTCATATCATTTTACATTTCGCAATCCAAACTCCATGAATTCCAACGTAAAAAAAATCACACTAAATCACCTGTACACCTAAACATGAATTGGAATGGAATTGAAAGGAGAGGAATGGAAAAACAAAATAAACTTAATTTTCTAGATGTATTTTAATTGCAAGAAGATTTTTATTGAAAGCAGATGCAGAGGAACTAAACAAATGTTGTTTTATTTTTTTTTTTTATCTTGGTTGGTTCTGTTCATCTTGATTTAAGAAATTATGCGCGTACACACACACACACACCCACACACACACACACACACACACACGTGTATATATGTATATATCAAAAATGCAAGTCTATAGATTTATATACACACCTTTATACACATCTATATACACATACACACACATATGTATATATATAAGTTATAATTTTATATAGATCAAATACGAAACGAAGGAAATGCAAAATACATTGAAGCCAGAAAAAATTCATGCCTTATCACGAAAGCTCAGCAACTGTTTAAGTTAAGTTAGTTATTATTGCTTCTTGTTTGTGTATTTGTTTGTTTGTTTTTCTTTTGTTCAAACTAATCAACATCATCATTGTATTGCAAGATTTAAATTTTTTACCTAAAAATGTTATAAGAATGTGTGCGTGTTTGTGTACGTGTGTGTACGTGTATGTTTTTGTGCATATGTGTGAATGTGTGTTTAAATAGATGTACGTGGGTGTGTTTGTGTGTGTGAATATGTATGTATGTTGCATGCTCTATATGTATTCGTCTGTATGTATGTATTCCTGAATGCGTGAAAAATAGTAAAAAGTCGACAAAGACGGAAATAAAGAGAGAGAGAGAGAGAAAGAGAGAGAGAGAAAGAGAAAGTGAGTGAGAGTGAGACAGATAAAGAAAGAGAAACTGTAAAGTTATGTACACAGTTTCTGAAATGCTAATGCTGAATTTATTAAACCCCAAAATTCCACCATAATATTGCATACGTGATTTGGTGATACCAAGCATAAAATAATATAACAACATCTCGTAATACAATTATGAACTTTTAAATAAATATCATGGATATTAATAATAAAAATATAAATCATTATGTATTTTATAATTTAATATTTTTATTAACCTTGGGCGGTTCGACCTTTTTGGGAACTTCAGGTTCGCTATAGTGGAGTTATCAATATTATCAATATTACCATAGAATAAATCATAAGAAATACGGAAAAAGATGTTGTTTAGTCTGTCACGAAGATATTTACAATGGTCCATGTTGATATGTGCGCCATGTATGACTGACATTTGCATTTATTGACTTATTTTCAAATTTAAACTACTTTAACTTTAAAATAATAAATCAATGAAAATTCACTCCATCTTTTGTAAATTGATGTAACCCAAAGCGCAAATATGTCTCAAGAAATATATGACAAATGACCAAATTAGCAGGATATTTCTTTGGTAGGCTATTGACAAGAAACCTCAACCTAGGGAACATCGGCGTTGTTGAACAAAGAACGAATCAAATTAGCATTGCAAATCTTTCTCTTAAAATTCTAATTTTCAATCCCTAAACTTTAAAACTTGTAGAATATTTTGACGAAGATTCGTTATTTCCCCACAAAACTACCAAGAACCGCTAATGAAACAATGGTTTCTTCATTTAATACCATTTGATAAACCTGGTCCATACATATATATTGAGAAAAGATACGAAAATTTTGATCAAATTGTTTAATTTTATAACAGTAATTATTATTATCTGTATGTGAGATCACTCATCTACTTAGCTAATTCACGTATTAAATGCACTTAATGTCATTGCGTCATGCACCGAATGTACTGGATGTCCTTAACATTTTCTATGTCTTTACATGAAAATAGTTCATTTAAGAAAGACGCGTTCTGAAGTTTTTATAAGAAAATTTAAGGTTTATTTAAATAAGTTTACTATTTATTAGTGTTTTTAAAATTAAGACCTACGTATGAGTAATGTTTTTAATGTTTTCATTATACTTTGATTAGGATGATGATGATGATGATCATTTTGAAGAAAAAATTATGGCGATATTGATGATGATGGTGGATGGGGATGATGATGGGTGAAGTTGAAAATGACATGATGAAATGCTAACAACAGAAAAAATGTTTTTAATGTTTCATTCAATGACGAATCTCACTCACCTTTCGGCCTCGCTGTGGAAAAATTTAAAAAAAATAATTATTAATATTATTATTAAAATTATTATTAGTAGTATTGTCATCATCGTTATCAGCAATAATATTATCATATTGATAATGTTTAACAAAGCGGCTAATATGATGTGGGTAGGTTATATCATTAAACATCTTTTCCAAATATAAATGAAATAGAAAAGATTAAAAAATGTACTCAGTGTAACAACGGAATGAAAATAATTAGAAATTGCATTTGATATTTTTGCAATTTTTAAATTTTTTGTCTTAAAAAAATAATTTTTTGGCACTTGAGGACTTAAGAAATCTAAGGGCGTGTTCATTTTGTTTCCATTCCTTTTCCTTTTCAAGGAAAAGGAATGGAATTTTTCTCAGTAGCACTAAGAACTAAAAACGAAAAAGTATAGTTGAAGTAAGTGTCTTCCAAAGGTAGAAAAATATTTTTATTAAAAATATTTTGTAAAGATTTTGTAATAATTTTACTTAACCATACAATACGATCGTCTTAATAGTTTTATTGTTAAGAACTGTTTCTACATAGAATGGACCGTACAAGAAACACAACGTAGAAATTTGATCAAACAAATTATTTACCACCAATGTCATAGATTAATTTTATTGAAGTAAGCCAGAAACAAATTGTGAGAAATTGTCTCCAGGCTTTAATGTTGAAAGTTTGAGCCTTGAAACTTTAAAAAAATAATTTTGTGATTTAAACAACGTGAAAATAAATTACACATCTGATCGAACATTTCAACATTATAACGACGAGGTTATCAACTGATTAAAGCAAATTTGTGTGAATAAATTCTCGTAAATTAAAAAAAAATTCAAATTAAACTTTACTATAAAATCATCTTCCACACATTTATTCACCTGTGGCTTGATTCGTCGTCAGACATCTTTCTTTTCTAATCCTTCAAAAATCGAAAATAAAATTGAAAATTTTCAATGAATGAAATCCCAGCCAGGAGCAAACTTCTGCAGTTACTAACTGATGGCAGTTGCACTCCAACGAATGCTAACGCACTCTCTATAATAATATTATACAGGTTCACCATAAATTAACACGTACATGGTTTACGCATATATATCTATATACAAACATATATGTATGTATCGTATGTATTTATAGGTGTATGTTTATGTATGTATATATGTATGTATGTATGTACGTGTGTGTGTGTGTGTGTGTGTGTGTGTGTGTGTGTGTGTGTGTGTGTGTGTGTGTGTGTGTGTGTGTGTGTAGTATGTATGTATGTATGTATGTAAGGAAATGACAACAACAAGATGAAGAATACGACACTAACTAAGTAACTCACTTTGCTAAAGAAATAAATTTGCTAATTGTTTAAAGAAACTACATAAACCAAACCTGCACTGAAGATGATTTATGAAAAATCGAATTAAGGCCTTATCTGCATGATGAATTTGGATAACTGCAGTTTTATTAAACTTTCATGATGAACTTGGATAATCATTCTAATTTCAACAAATTGAACAAATTTCCAGAAAATTCTAGAAAGAAAAGTTGACAAGACAAACTTTAAATTGATTAATGCTAACAATTCTGTAGAATACATACCCACATACATACAATACATCTATACACACACACACGCACACACACAGACATACATACACACATATACAATATATAAAAACTCAACACGCACACACATACATATACACATATCTGCAACATACATACACATACTCATATTTTGTATACACGTTATGTATATATTTATGATGGTTTAGAATTTCTTAAAGCTTAAACCATGAGCACGAAAGCCAAACAAACAAGATGCAAATATTTATTATTATTATTACTATTGTTATTATTATTATTACCGTTATAAGTATTATTACACGTAAGTATGTGTCTACGTATGTTTGTTTCTTTGTTTGTATGTACGTACGTATGTATGTATGTATGAATGTATGTATGTTTATATGTATGTATATACGATGTATGTTCGTATGTATGTTCGTATGTATTTATGTTTGTTTGTATGTTTGTATGTATGTATGCATGAATGTGTGTATGTAGTTGTATACATATACAAGTATGCAACAAATGCTTGTTTGTTATGCATAAAAGCTGTTGCTTGCGCGCTCCCTGTGCAAAACTTTTGTTCTAAACATACCCGGCTTGTCAGATCATTGTTGTATGTCTTGTTTCTCCATCTTTCCTTCCCTCTCTCTCTCTCTCTCTCTCTCACTTTCTTTCTTTAAACTTACAGGTACACATACACACATACATGCGTACAAACACACACTCACAAACACACACACTCACATAGAAGATATGCATATGCACATGAAATTATTTAAACATTAATAAATCACTTTCAGTATTGTAATATTATTGATAAATGAATAAATACACTTTCTAGGCAAATATCAACATATGGGTATGATTGGATGAAATGGGATTACTTGTTTCGTAATGGATTGTTAATTTTCGACAGTAAATACAAAATACATGATACGAATAAACAGGAATATATGTATTTATATGGTATAGGTATTTGTATGTGTGTGTGTGTGTATGTATGTATTGTGTGTGTGTGTGTTGATGTGTATATCTAAAATATGTTGGCGTATGTATTTAAAGATGGGCTCATGTGTTTGTATTCGGGTATATGTACAATGTACGTCGGCATTTGTGTGTACAAATGTATCAATGTGTTTAGGTATACGTGTGTGTGGGTATGTATTGTATTATGTATATGTGTGTTTGTGTATTATCTATTAGCATCTGGCATTGTATTTATTTATACGCTCTGCCAAACGGAAAGCTCTTTGATTAGATTAATAATAATGGTAGCGATGATATTATTACATGAAGGAATGCATACGCCACACCACACTATACACACACACACACATACACGCGCACTCTCACACACATCACATACACAGTATCAAACAAACACATATGCAAACACACACAAACACACACACACACATGCAAACACACACAAACACGCACACACATGCAAACACACACAAACTTGAACTGAATCTACATTGGCATTAGTTTTAACTATTATTATTATTATCATCATTATTATTATTATTGTTATTATTATTATTATTATTATCATTATTATTCATTTTTATTATCCAAAACAATATTTATTCAATAATGAAGGTTAATAGAAAATTAGGTCTGGAAAATATTTTTTTTAGAAGTTTTTCTCTTCGCTAAGTCAAAGAAACAAATTTCTTTGTTAGGAAACTTTGCGAATTTGTGTCTGCTGAAACAATTTTTTTGCTCTGAACCATGATTTATGTTAAAGTTTTGAAGGGATGTTAGTTTGTCACTATGTAAAATTTCATTTCTCGTCTTTATTTGCAGCTTTCCAACTATTTTCAAAAATTTTATTTGCAACTCTACCTCTGAACATACTTCTGCTTAATTTCTTAAAAAATCGCCTTCTAAATTTGACCAACTTGAGTGTAACTCATTCACAATGTAACTCAGATTCATCTTCAAAATAGAATTTTTTTATTCTATTTATTTAACCGTTTATTTTCCAAAATAAATAACAAAAATTTAAAAAAAAAGTCCAACATAACCGCTAGTGTAATAAATAACAACAGTGCATTAAATACGTAGTAATGGGGTCAGTTAGGAACAATGTTTAAACTATAGTAAAGGCTTTAGGATGTATATAATGAAAGAGAGAGAGAGAGAGAGAGAGAGAGAGAGAGAGAGAGAGAGAGAGAAAGTTAAAAAGATAAATAAAAAGAAATTAAAAAAAGAGAAAAAGAAAGAAAAAAAGGGAAGAAAGAGAGAAAGAGAGAAAAAGAGGAAAATATGGTGTAAGAAAGAAAGAGAGAAAGAGAGACAAAGAAAAAAGTTATAAAAAGGTATATCACTTATGCTGAAAGCTTGCAACACCATTAAGTAAAAAGAAGAAAAAGAAAAGAAAAGAAAAATCTCCATTTTCTTACCGGTTTTAATTATTCCATTTGTATTTAACTATCTTCAAATAAAAACAACGTTTAGAGATCTTTTAAAGTGCTCACAGGCATTTTGTTTACACGGTAGACTCCATAGCAACCGTTTCTATGGTAACCACTTAATCATGGTTTACGTATTATATATATATATATATTATATGTATATATATATATATATATATCATATATCGTATATAACTCAAGTAAATGTTTATATCATGTACTATATGATTCATTAATATATACTGCATATTCATCTATTTATTTCTACCTATGTCTATTAGATAATAATAATAATAATATTGGATATTAAACTTTTTGAGGAATTTTACTTTGTTATTTATGATGAAGTCACAGGCGATTAAAGCAAAAGTTAGTATCAACTTGCCTCATTTCTCGGCTTATTTTTTAATTTTTTATTTTTTATTTCAAGTGGTAGGTATTTTCTGTCTCGAAATTATTTTTATCCAAGTGGTTTGGGCGTCTGCTTCTGCTATCGCGATCACCGAGTTCGACTGCAAAGAAATCCCCGCCAATCACACGCTATGTGTGAATGATGCGTGCATGGACTTTTTACACTGTTGTTGATATCTGTGAAGAATTATTAAAAGAGAATAAATAATAATAATAATAATTATTATTATTATTATAATTTAATTTATTATAATATAATCTATTATTATTATTATAGCAGAACATAACATAACAAAACAAAGATTTTTTTATAGTGATCCAAGAAGACTGAGTCCGTGACAGGACCACTCTGAAACTTTTTATCCTACTTTTGCCAAGTTTTCTTTAAAGTTATCAGTTGTTTCTGCGCATACTATTTCATCTCCCAGTTTGTTCCACTCGTCGACACATCTGCAGCTGAAAAATTTTGGCTTTATGGATCCGAGCATTTTCGAAAGATCTTATATTTATGACCCCTTGTTTTAATGTTCATCATAAGCTCAAAACATTTTACTGGTTCCATATTCTCCTTCATATTGATGATTTTGTATGCCTGAATCAAATCTCCTCTTGTTCTTCTTTTTTCCAATGTTGTCAATCCACAAACTTTTTATCTGTCTTCATTTGGCATACCGCGACACTCCTTCATCATTCTCGTTGCCCTCTTTTGAATATTCTCCAGCATATGTCTGTCCTTTTATAAATCTGAATTCCAGAGCTGAACACAGTACTCCAACTTTGGTCGAACCGAACCGATGCTTTATATAGGTTTAATATGACGATCATATCTCCTCTTTTTACTGTTCATTTTATCATACCCAGAATCCAGTTTGCCCTTTTATTCTCAGTAATTGTGGTAAAAATTATTTTTATTTCAGTTGACATTTTATTATTCCAATCAGACAGACGTATCAAGCTCGTCGCAAATTTCAAAAGTGAAAGCGTCAACAACGAGAGGTCCCAGGGCAGTGAAGCATTACCTTTATTTATAATTTAACTTTTAATAATTTATTTATTATGATAGTAATTATGATTAAAGTTATTTTTTATATCATTATTAAATTATTTTATTATAAGCATAACAATAAATAACTCCGTGATATAGGATTCGGACAGCATCACCCTGATAGCTGAACAAGAAGATGATGTATGTTGATGTATCTTCATACAAATTTGAATGTAAAAACTAATACAAATATTATATACAAACCTATTCTAATACCTACACAAAACGTGATACAAACAAAATACCTAAACTTATACTAAACTATATAACGCAAACACAAGAGGAAATTACCTTAAGGATACACTAAAATTTGATTTTCATCATATTATTCTTAATTTTCTGTAATTAAGAGTAAAATATTGTTAATTTTTCTACATATATCTACGGTAAATATATTTTTATTATTCTTTATAAATATTGTTATATGTTTATATTACAATTATTTATATTGAAATTATTTTTAACTTTTTTAACACACCCAGTTGTTGAAATCGATACTTAAACCACCTGACCAACTGCATCTAACTGAGCAGGTTACAGGAAATAATTTTTATTTTAAGGCGAATGAATGATATTATAAGATGAATGAATAGATTTTCAAATCATCCTAATATAAAACCTGAATAGGATTTCAAATCATCCTAATATAAAACCTGATATTCATTTTCCACAAGGAACTCAAAGAGGAGTTTACGAAAATTCTGACGGCGGAGAATCCAAGGGCCTCAAAAAATGTCGTCAGGTACAGTTTTAAGGTGAATTTTCGATGAGAAAAATATTAAAATTGCATTCCTTTTTAAAAAAATGTCAGCTGGAAATTAATTTGTTATCAGTTTTAATTTTCGCAGCTTTACAAAGAAGAAAAATAACGGCCAAAATGTTTTACATCCTTAGTTAGCATGGCCAAAATAAGTACACTCTCAGTCGTTTGTCATGATTAGTCGCAAACAACCATATTACCTTAAACCTCAGATGTTGTACTAGCAAGTAAATACCGAGCCGTTCTAGATTTAAACCAAATGAAATCTCTTCATGTCGGTATTTAGTTTGGAGGAATTTAAATTCGAATACATCCGAAACAATGGGTCACATGATACGTCATTTATGACGTATCATGTGACCCATTATTTATAAAATAATGACGAGGATGACTATGGCAAGGATGATGATGGTGATGATAAGAATAATAATAATTAAAATAATATTTATTTTATTTTGATTTTATTTATTTTTAAATAATAAATACATTAGGACAAAAGTTTCATGACCGTTCCGACGACTGATCATCTGGCCGTCCACTTCTCCATTGATGGAAACAAGATTCATGAGAAGTCTGAAGAGGCGAAGAAACAACTGAAACGAGGCAGTCTCTGTTTTTCAGTTTTGTTTTCAATTTTTATTTTGTTTTCGTTACTTTTTTGTCATTTTTATTTTTGTTTTGTTTTTTAATTTTATTTTTGTTATTAAAAATGTTTTTGTGTGTTACTGTTATTCAAGTTTCTCAGTAAACTATTGATGGTTAACTTCAAATAATTCACACGTAGAAATCCCATTTGAAATAAAAACCAATTTATTCGTAAAACAACAAATTTCTAAAAACGTCATAATTAAAATAGCTTGTGAAATGTAAATAATATGGCGTTCTGTGTTTCAGAAATGCCTCATCCTGCGTTTGTTGAAATGACCAGGTTCGATTGCAAGAAGATCCACACCCTTTTTAACCTTTTCAATCATATCATACCATATACACCCATTGATTTTGGCTTATTCACAAAGTTGTGTCCTTTTTTGTGTTAATCAGGGAAGAAAAAATGACTTAGAGTTTGAAAACATTTTTTACAGAATCAAAATCCACGGAGACCGTTTCGAGCCAAGCCACACCGTCGCAAACAGTGGAGCAAGATATGAAGGTCCTACAAGATGACGAGGAGAACTTGAAGGGAGATGCTGCCTTGGACGCAGATGGAGATAATGTTAGGAAAGAGATTTCTATTTAAATGAGTTTTTTTAATAATGATTTTTTTTAACCTTTCTTGACATGTTTCTTCTTCAATAAATGGATAATCACTCGAACGATAAGTTTGTAGCACTGATATTATTTATTAATACTAACAAACTCAAACAAATACTTCAACTTGATACTTTTATATAAGTGTTATATAAGATATATATAAATCTTGATAATCATTCCTAATCTATTTAATCTACATCGGTGGAATACTAATCATGTTTGCATATTTTGTAGCCTTCTCACCAAATGAATACAAATACAAATACATCAACAGAACGCCGAATTAACGGTAGAAGACGCGAAGAAGTCAGCCACAAAAAGTAGAGGCGACAAAAAGCTGACGAACCAGTTTAACTTCAGTGAGAGAGCCACGCAACCTTATAACAACCCACCAAGGGTAGATATGCAACGTTTGAAATAATCATTTATAAATCTCGGATGGAGTGTCTCGAAAACATAAGCACACAACACACATCAAATGTAATTTAACCATTTAAATGCCAAGCTACAAGTCGTCATTATGTATACATACATCTATGTATGAGTGTTAACATTAATTATGTGTACATCTGTGTATGAGTGATTGGTACCGTGGGTGTGTGTTGTTTAGTAGAGTTGCCATGGACTTGTCCTAGAGAGTGCTGGCTTGGGAGTTTGAAAAATCGTCATCGATCTGGTTTTGCTTGCTAAAACTTTTGTTTTGTTATTTAATTGAGAGATTTCATGCTGTGAATGGATTAGGTTATGTGACGAAGAAATTTAAAAAGAAAGATGAAAAAGTGACCTCATAAGAAAGAGTTTGCAGTTATTAAGTCCTTCCGTCTACGTTTTTTTAATTTAATTCTTCGTCATCATCTAAGTAGATAGATGCAGATCATTCAAATATTTCTTTGATTATTAAATATTTTCGCCAAAATTTTCATTTTAGGTTAAGTTAAGTGAAATTTTATTCTAACAAATTTTTAATTTGACAATAGTATGAGTTTTTGAAATGACACTTTAAAGAATGACGTTAAAATTAAATTTATATAAATACCTTTAAACTACCCTTTTTAATTCATTATTAACAAGTGTTTTTTGCAATTTGAAATGATTATTTTAATTTAAATATTAATTTTTTTTTAACTTTTTTAAATGAAAAATTTTTTTAACAAGGACAAGCAGACGATGACTGAACCGCCTCCAGCCATGACCTACTCGGCCAACGTTACTCAGTGGGAAATATATGATGCCTATCAGAAGGACTACGATAAACAGGTACATCCATCTCTCTCTCTCTCTCTCTCTCTTTCTCTCTCTCTCTCTATCTTTATATATATATATATATGTATATATATATATATATATATATCTGTGTGTGTATGTGTGTGTTAGCATGTGTGTGTGTGTATGTGCGTGTGTGTGTCATTATTCAATAATTCTTTCAATTTAGAAATTATTGGCTTGCTTGATTCTTTGCTCTGTCATTAATTCGTTTTTTCACCTTTTTTATCAATTTATTGATTCGTTCGTTCGTTCGTTCATTCTTCAAAGGTTAAAAACAAAGACAAAAAAATTGTGACAAAAACTCAAGAACTCAAGAAGAAAAAGACAAGCTCTAGTGTGGGTTCAATTTTTAAGAATAATTTCACAAGTAGCAGCAGAATCAGCAGCATAAAGCCGTAGTCATAGTAGTAGCAGAAGCTTTGGTTGTTGTAGTAGTAATAGTAGCAGAAGTAGTAGTAATGACAGAAATAGCATTATTAGTAATATTTATTAGCATTTTAATTATTTTAAGTTAAATATAAATAAAATAAATTTTGAAATATGCTTCTACCTCTTAGTACTGCGATGAAATAGAATCATTGAAATCACTGAAAATCATCGAAAGAATGGTCACGCAAAATATACACGATGAAATCACGTACGGTACGGTAATAAATTATTAATTATTAATAATAATTATAATCTATAATATTATAATTATAATAGCATTAATGTTGTAGTTAAATTATAATAATAGTAATAAATAATTTCGCTAAATTATTTCTCAGAATTATCAATAATATATATCATGTCATTTCTATTGTGTGTGTGTGTCTGTATGTCTCTCTCTCTCTCTCTCTCTCTCTGTATGTGTGTGCGTGTATATGTGTGTGTACGTGTGTATGTGTGTGTGGTGTGTGTGTGTGTTGTTACAGTTCACCAAAGAACAACTACTGACGACGACAGACTACAAATACTACGAGGACGCATCGGACGAATTCAAAGAGCAAAAAGGTTCCTTACTGCCCCTCTGGACGTTTAAATTCAAGAAAGTGAAAAACCTTTCGGTGACCTGCATATGCTGGAATCATATTTTTCCGGATTTGTTCGCCGCCTCCTACGGATCATGTAAGTGGGATTGGGATTACTTTGACATTGGGATATATATTACTAATAACCAATGGCTGGGTTCTAGACGACTTTTTCGCGGGGAAAAAATTTTTGAGAATGTTCAAATTGTTAAATTTTGACGGAAGGGCCAGGATTTTTTGCTCGCCTTCGTAGATCCACCACTGATACTAACAACTGCAATGCTGACAAAACTATCACCTACTACTGCTACACCAATGATGATATGCCCGTATAAATGACCTTAATATAATTAATTAATGTATGTCGCTGGAGTTGTGTGTTTATTTGTTTTGTAGAGTTTAATTAATATTGTTGATTAAATTTTAAAAGTTTAGTTCCTGACCGTTATACCGATGTTCTTTTAATCAAGTCTGAGCGTGTAAAACCCACACCACACGTCACTCACACACACACACACTTCTATGTAACATTCACACACACAAACAAAAACACACACACATACATTTCCACCGACATAGACGAATATGAGAACCAGGTGGAAGGAGAAATACTTCTATTCACCCTAAAAAACCCATCCTACCCGGAATATATCTACCAGATGCACTGCAGTGTCAACTCTGTGGATTTCCATCCAAACTACCCGTACCTACTGGTTGCTGGACTCTACGATGGCAATGTTGCCGTCTTCGATGTTGTTACTGATTGTCATGAGCCTGTCTTTCTTAGCAATTATAAAACTGGGAAACATCTGGACGTCGTTAATCAGGTCGGGTTCGGTTCGTTAATCAGGTCGGGTTCGGTGTTTTTTTTTTGTTTTGGTCGTAGGTTTGTATGTTTGTATGTTTTATGTGTATGTAGGTATGTATGTTTGTTTATTTGTTAGTTTGTTTATTTGTTTGTTTGTTTGAGTATGATTCTTTGTTTTTTTTATTTATTTCACTCCTTTGAAGTTTCAGTCCAATTTTAAACACACTTCTATGTCCACAAAAATTGAGAAAGATTGATAAATTTTTTACCAAAATGAAAAAAATTCTAAAAAAAAGCTTTTACAATAGCAATTATGTACTTAATAATTCATGGTTTTTCTCAATTTTCAAGTTTCATCTTGAAACTTCTTCTTTCTTGCGTTTTGAAATAGTTAAAACTAGGCCAGGGGTGATTTTTTTTTCTCAGAAACAAGAAAAAGTGAAAAGCATCATTTTAATACGAGACATGCAGATAGATTAAAACTACGGATGTGTTGGAAGACAAAAAATTTTTTTTTGTATCCGTGCGAGAAATTTGACAGCTGCATTATTTTGTCCCCAAGCCAAATAGCATCTACTGATTCATTATAGAGCATCTCTTGTTACTCATTTTGCTTAGTAATTTACATAGGCACACTCTCTCTTTTTTTTCTCTTTCTCTCTCTCTCTCTTTCTCTCTCTCTCTCTACACACACACACACAAACAAACAAACAAATAGAGACACGCGTACACATATACAGTGCAATTTAAAATCGTTATTTTGGATAACGTGTATCCTTTTAAGTCCTTCCTTCAAAATTATCATTGCAGTTTTTGTTGTGATGAATGTTACACAAAAAAATTACCAGACCCAACAATTATAACAATCATAATAGATGATAGTGGTCATAAATAATAATAATAATAATAATAATGAATAATAACAACAACAATAATAAATAATAATAATAATAAATAATAACAACAACAATAATAAATAATAATAATTATTATACCAGGTAAAATGGCAGAGTCACGAAAATGAAAATGGCCTAAATTTTTTCTCCATTTCAAACAGCGGCGAAGTGTTTAACTGGACCATATTGAAGGTATAAATTATAAAATAATGAAAATAAATATAAAATATATATTTTTAATAAAAATAAAAATAATAATAATGAATGAATGACAACAATGTGTTCGTTCTTATCAAGACGCATGTAAAGTTAAACATCATGTTACATTATTTCTGAATCACAACACAACAACAATAATAATAATAATAACAAACGCAGAATGAGTTAATGTGTGAGAAGCTTTGCACGCTGAAGATGGAATCGAGTGATAACCTCAAACTGAATGGTTCTACCATACCGTTGGAACTTTCCGGTAATGATAATAATAATAATAATAAATAATAAATAAATAATAATAATATTGATGATGACCTTAATTAGTATTTAGTCCTCAAAAAATCACGTAAACATTTGAATTAACGTAAACGAATGCAATCTTTTCAGCAAAGAAACCTTGAAATAGAACTATTTATAAATAAACTTCTTATTTTACTTTAAAATATATATAAAATAAATAATATTAGTCTCTTATTTATCTTGGATAAATTTTTTATTCAACTATTCCCGGCCAACAAACAGCTGCAATAGTTAAGATGTGATGGCACTGATGTTGCTGTAACTTGACTGAGTAAGAAAGCAAAGCCGAGACTGGTTTACGCTTGTACAAACACTTTTGTTGTTGATACTTTTGAGAGGAGTATTGAAAAGTTAACTGTAGGACAAAATAGTTTGACGATGTATCCTATTTGTTCCATCAACAAAAAATTACGCACACGCCAAACTAGGTTGTGGTATCACATTTGATTTCCATCCGAAAATAGAAGATTTGTACTTGGTGGGCACTGAAGAAGGTAAAGTTCACGTTTGCTCCAAGAACCAGAGCAACAGGTTCCTGTGTGTGTTTGTCGTTGAAACCTCTGAAGCTAACGCAAAAGAGAGAGAGTAACCTTTAACCTTTATCAGGTTCCTATCAACTTACGACGCGCATTTTGGACCAGTGTATAAAGTTCTCTGGAGTCCATACTGCCCGTCTCTGTTTATTACTTGCAGTGATGACTGGCTTATTAAGATTTGGGATCGATCTATAGAAAGGTAGGGTTTTGGGATTTGTTTTTGTTTGTTTTTTGTTCTGTTTGTGCTACCTACAAATAAAACCTGTTAAGTGCAAAACGTATGAATTGTGTGTGATAGATGTTTTGATTTATTAAAGTTGCAATTATGGCCACAAAAAGGAGTTACAAATCCTAAAACTATTCTCACCCGGGTCGAAAAAATTTGCTATTTAAGAACATATGCGGCCCTTCAAAGGTAAAATAGTTCTCAATGCGGCCCTCACAGCAAAAATTTGCCCACCCCTTGTGTAGAACATTGATTATCTGAGCAAAACCTCAATGCATTTGCGGATAACAGAATAAGTTTATAAAATGAAATGTAGTGGTCGATCAAGTATCTTTCAAATGAAGCCGGTATAAATTTATAAACGGTTGAATTTAATAAAATTGACTCTTAAGTCATTTAAACTTGAAAAATTTATAATTTCTAAAGAAAAAAAATTAAGTAACATGACACAAATTTTTACTTTACACTACCAAATGAAACACGCAGTAGCGAGCCATTGTTCGTATTTGATCTTGGATGCGCGGTCGAAGACGTTGAGTGGGCTCCATATTCCTCCACAGTTTTCGCGGCTGTCACTCAGGACGGCAAAGTTGGACTTTCTTGCTTTCTTTATTTTATTAATTTAATTACTTTTTGCTGTTTGTCATCAAATTTCTTGTCTGCCGTTGTTTCTTTCTTCCTAAAATTTTCTTATTTTATTACAAATTTTTTACCTGAATCCATAAATCTGTGTCTTTTTTTTCATTTCTTTCCATCGTTAAATATAAACTAACCATTTTTTAAAACTCTTCATTTGATATTTCACAGAAGCATCAACAACAAATACACAGTGCATGTAATATACGCGCGAATTAATACACACACCTGTAAGGCTAGGATCACCATGCATTCAAACCCAGACACCGCAATTACCGTGCCAGGCACCTTAACCATTACACCATTGTTCCGCTCTGTCATTACCATGTCATTATATTGATGAAGAAAGAACCAAATTTTAAAAAGAAGACATCGAAATCATTGATTGAAAAATATAATTAGCAATTTTTCCATAAGGCTTACGTTTATGACTTGAATGTTGAGAAGCATGAAAGTCTCTGCGAACAACGAATAGCTCAGAAAAGAAATTCAACCCTGACGCGTGTGGCTTTCAACCAGAAACATCCCATCATTCTCGTGGGAGACGACAGGTAGGGGGTGGGGAAACTTTACAATTTCGTAAAAAAAATATATAAAAAAATATAATCATGAATGTAATTGTTGTTGTTTTTTATGATGAATTTGATTCTTGAAGTTTGTCATCATTGTAAAAGTAATGTTCATTTTTCCTTTTAATAATTTTTAAAATTATCATACCTACAGGGGAACGATTCAATCATTTAAGTTGTCTCCAAACATAAGGAAGCTGCCCAAAGTGAGATACATTTTGTCAACAATATGCGTGATACATGCTCGCATGTGATGTGTGTTGTATGTACGACTTTATCAAAAACATTTCATCAAAAATTCCTTCGTCTTCAATGATTTTTCATTCATTCAATCATTCATTAAATCATTTGTTTATTCATTCCTTCATTCTTTCGTTCATTCATTCATTTATTTATTTGTTGTTTCTTCCATCCATCCAATTAACCATCCAATTACTTATCGTCTGTTTATCTATTCGTTCTTTCATTTGTTTCACTCGTTTTATCGTTTGTCCATCCTACATTCTACCATCTGTATTCAATTATTCCTATTTCATTCATTTATTAAATCATTTATTCTTCTATCAAACCATTCATTCATTTACTCATTCATTCATTCATTCATCTATTCCTTCCTTCACTCACTCACTAACTCACTCACTCACTAACTCACTCACTCACTCACTCACTCACTCACTCACTCACTCACTCACTCACTCATTCACTCACTCATTCATTCATTCATTTATTCATTCATTCATTCATTCATTCACGAAAAGGACAAAAAGGGACAGGACCAATTAAAACCGGAAGAGAAGGAGGCGCTGAGAAGAACTGCCGAGGTGGACAAGTTGGAAAAACTGCTGGTCACAGTGCGCCCGTTTGTCAGAGTGAAAACTTAATTTGGGGAAAAATTGCTGAAAATTGAAATAACGTTAAATAAATTGATTAATAGATTAATTAATTTATGAAAAATTTGAAAAGATCGTAAAAATCAAACAAAACTAGTAGCGAAACGTTCTTTAAAAAAAAACGAAAGTCTCAAAAAATGAGATGACCGGAGAATTTATTCTAAATTTATTTAGCCTGGCCACCCAACAACAGAGAATAAACTCAGAGTAAATTTAACTAAATAAAATTATTTCTACGTTTTCGCTACAAAGTTGAAAATATTTTTATAAAGAAATATTTTTAAAAGATTGTACGTACAATGAGGAAGAACACGCAGTCACCGATCAAATTAACACTTTACTTATACATAATGCTGCTGGAGAAACTCTATCTGCGATCTTCGCCCATCCCTTTCAAAAAAGAAAACTGACGACGACGATGACGATGCTTATGTTCAGTTAGTTGTTGATGATGAAAATGATTATATAACGACTTCTATAGTGACGATGATGACGGTGGTGTGGATTGTGATGATGAGATAGATGATAACAATGTTGAATTCAACAAATATCTGAATTAATTTTAATTATAAAGCTATCAACAAATGAACTAGAGTTGTTTTTTCTTCGCCCAAAACATCCGTAATAGATTCAGATTATATTGGCTTCTTTATTGCTTTGTAATAGACATACGCTTCGGCAAACAATCTAAGTATAAATGTCAAAACACATCTCTCCTCTCTTTCTCTCTCTCTCTTTCTCTCTCTCTCTCTCTTCCTCTCTCTCCCTCTTTCTCTCTCTTTTTATCTTTCTCTCTCGGTTTTTGACAACACACATACTCTGTATTTTTTCTCGTCTTCCTTATTTTTCTTTTCTTTTTTCTCTCACACTCTTGTCTTTCTTTCTCTCTCTTTCTCTCTCTCTCTTTTTCCTTTTTTCTCTTTCTTTCTCTCTCTCTCTCTCTCTTTTTCTCTAAACATCTCTCTATATATATAATCGAGTGTATTTTCTCAAAACAGCACTAGCGCACATTCTTGGAATTAATGCACGTGTTAGATTCACTGTTGACAATAATCGAGGAAGGATTGGGATAAACAAAGAAAGAGGATGGAAGATACAGTTCACAAAAAAGTAGAGAGAACATGAAAGAGAGAAAGAGAGAGAAGAAGACGATGTCATATTGAGAGAACGTGATATAAAAAAAAGAGTGGATAACATGTAGAGAGAACGTGAGAAAAGTGAGGGTAAAAGAATCTACTTAAAAACTGACCCCAAATGAAAATGCCTTAATTTATATGTAAATGAAAAAATATTATGACGCTATAATAATATAATGAATTAATTTAGTAACATTATTATTATTATAATAATTTTTAAGTTTTTAAGTAATCTAGTTATATACTGATATATTGATATTATGACCGTTGTTTTATAAGCATTGGATGTATTTTTATTGATGATTGCCTTTTAAAACTGTAATATACCAAAATGTTTCATTTGTTGCGTTTTGCTTGTTGCTTCTATTAAAAAATCTATATTTAAAGTTAGTTTTGATTTATTAATATATGAATAAATTAATGTTTAATGGTAATTATTTAATTTTTTTCGGTTAATAACGAAGTGAATTCTAGTTCAAAGTTGAGTAATTAAAAGTTGAAAGTATTTATAAGTATAAAATACATAAGGAAGCACGTACACATACACGGAAATACAAAACACACGCACACACACGCACACACACATACCTTTAATGATGTAACTTTTTTAGTTTTTTCACTAGACGACTGAAAGTTTCGGTGCCTAACTAGCGTTATGCAAATTATTATAACTAATTGAAGCTGTATTAAAATTTTAACAAATGGTTTAGAAAAAACATTAATGACATACTATTTATATCAGAATAACAATCAAATGCACGTACGCACATACAAACTCACACACACATACACACGCATACGTACACATGTAAACACACGTACACACACATGTTAACATTATAATATAAAATCACACAGATACCCATGCTACACATGTATTATGTATTATATACAGGCACATGGACATACGTATACAAACATATATACAAAACATATTTATGCGCCCACACATACATACACACAAATATACTTACACACGTACAGAACACACACTTCAAAAAATAAGATAGAGCCGAGTTATTAATAAGGTTATCAAAAAGCGAGACAGTCGCCCGGTCAAGATCTTTTTACAATGTTTACCCATGTGTGTGCGCGTCTGTATGTGTGTATGTATGTGTGTATGTATGTGTGTGTATGTATGTGTGTGCGTGTTCTTAGAAGCGTGGGTTTTTGTGTAGGTGTTCAACGTTTCCATTTGTTGGAATGTACAAAAAATCATTGTCTGTGTCTACAATGATAAAATGGATATGTAGGCGTTACAACAAAAATACTGTTTTGTGTATGTATATATGCATACACACACTCACACACACACACACACACACATACATACATACATACATACATACACACAAACACACATTCACACACTCACACATACACACACACATACACACTTATATATATATATTATAATAATAAAGAATTACACGCATTTATATATAAGCTTGTTATTTATTAGTTGAAAGGTAAATATGAATTTGCGAGGGCCTTGATTTGAACCTAGATACCTTGCTATATTAACAGCAAAAACATTTTATGATGATTCTTTTAAATATTAAAAATAGTTATTGATAATAACAAAATAATTAATAATATTAAGAATAATAATATAAATAATTCAAAAAGTTATCCATCATTTAATACATGCCAACGTTCTGAACTCATTTCAAAAAGAAAGAAAAAAGTTCCGCCACGATGAAAAACTGCGTAGTTCTGAACGCACAGAAAGACGTCTACCAGAACATAGCATCAAACATAACGCTGAAAGATTACTACTTTGATTCAAAGTTCCGCTACATAGCAGAGGTTTATATTTCATTGCCTATAAACATTTTTGGGATAATTGGAAATGCGATGACTTTTTACATTCTGACGTTCAAGATAAAGAAACAAAAGTCGCAGGCGATAATCTTCCTATTGATTGCTCTATCTTTTGTGGATACTTTGGTTCTGCTGTTTCATCTCTTTTTGAGGACTTTTAGAGAGCTGTTTCTTGAAGGTAAGGGCCTTTCTTTAATTTTAAATTTATTTGAAATTTTAAAGTTTCTTGATATGAGGTGTTGGCTGAAATGAAATATTTTTTCATTTTTTTCTCTCTGGTTTACATGTTTTTTGATTTCATTCAGTTTGATTGTTTGATATGATCTGGCGGAAAAAAATGTTTGTTGAATTTGTAGTTAGTGGCCATTGGCTAGAAGATTGTATGGCTTGGTACTTCATGCGAGATTGTGAATTAATTTTAATTAATTAATGATTTTCACTTGATTCGTTTGTGAACTTTGCTCATGGTTTTTGTTTAGATTTCATTGCACGCTGTCTTCACCTCATCATGATAGTTGAATCAATTTGATAACTATTTTAACTTAATAACTTCACTAGCAACTTTATTCTTTCTTTCATTCATTCATTCATTCATTCATCCATTCATACATTCATTCATTCATTCATTCATTCACTCACTCATTCATTCAACTTTAACGAGAGTAAAAAATCCTAAATCACGTTCAACGTGATTCCGCATTTAAAAACTCCATCGTTTTAATTGCTGACCGTGCAGATTGTCTCATTTTAAATCGCGTAAATAACAGCAATTATAATAACAACTAATAAGAAGATAAAGAAAAATAAAGAGAACAATAAGGAAAAGGTTAATAAGACAAATAAGAATGAGAATAAAAAGGCAAAGGTTGCGTTACGAAACCGAATGTTTTCTACAAGAATGAAAAAATTGCGAATTTGTGGATCGTGGTCTAGTTAATGAGAAAAGTTTTTTGGAGGTAAATAGAAAATAAAAAAATAAATAAAAGATTAAAAATTAGAAATAAATACAGCCTGATTTATAAATTCTAATTTATATAAATGTGCTTGCTACAAGTTTGTTTACTACTATTTTCAAAGTTGGCAAAATCATCCATCAACTTTTTTTGTGCGTGGCAAAAATGCATTTAAATTCAGTTAGTTATATTCAGAAAAAAAATTTTATTTGCAGATGTGAATAAATCATTTACAGAGCAATAAGTCGAGCGAATCTTTTAAACATTTTCTTAGAAAAAAACATTTGAAAAACCTATTTTAAGTTAATTCATCCATTTTATAATCTGACGTAATTTGCTGAAGAATGGGCCTTATCAATCATTCAAAGTGGATAATACAGCACAACACTTTTCTCAAAATAAATTCAATTTCAGATTTTTCTAAAATTAAAAAAAAAATCCTGGTCCCAGTAAATTTATATTTTTTTTAATTAAAAAAAATTGTTTTGGACCTAGGTCTAGTTGTAAAAACGTCATTAATCTGATGCATAGCGTGCTTCTAACATCTCACTTAACGTCCATCCACTTACTAAGAGTGTTTTTGTGACGTGTGAAAAAGTAAAAAAAATTTCTCGCTCTCTACATTGGCTTTTAGTTTGACAATTCAATTATTTAGTTTAACTTTAGAATGTAGGCAACCATTTAAAATGATGGAAGTGGAGTAATGGCGAAACAGGTCAACTGCCGGGAAAACCCAGGCAGCCCACACAAAATAAATGACTCAACATTTCAAATTGCCTCACAAACACACCTACAATGTACAATCTTTTGTAAGGGAAAATATTAAAGGACTTAGAACAGTGATCCCAAAATTAAATTTCAATCTACTTAAATAAATTAATTTATAAAGTTTTTTCATGCTCAGTATTAGTTATTCGATCTGATTTTTACTCTAAAAATTATCCAATTCACTTCTAGAAATGTGTGAGCTATCATAGTATTATCCTTTTCAATTTATCCTTTCTCAAATACATTACCAAGACTGCACTTAAACTAGGTCTGCACGTATCAAAGTCACATTAAACTTCCACATGAGTTTCGTCATCTTTGACATTTAGGCTACAGACACACATACCTACACCACGTACCAGAGATTTTGATGTGAATTTTTAATTTCAATTATAAACTCCATCAAAACGACATAGCGTTGTTTCCGTGGTGTTGTTTGTTTGTGCTTTTTTTGTTATAAAACTTGTGGGGGGATAGGAAATAGAGAAGATATTAATTATTTCATAAAAATTTAACTTATCTTAAAGTCAACACACTTCATTCCAGACGTGTGTTCCCCGTTAAATTGTATTTACATCTTCAAAATTTAAGCAGCCCTGGCATTCCTGTAGAGGTGTAGCCATTTTTCGATGTATCGTGCACACGTAACAATTACCGATCTGCGTTAAATTATACACCGCATAGTAATTTGCTTTTTGGAGAACATTTTAGATCGCAACAATTTCTAAAAAGCAACCACACATACACACAAACATACGTAAAAACCTAAAATCACGCACCCACACGCACAAATCTACAAAACAAAATGACATTTGTCCATCGTTTTTAACAATTTTTAGAGTTTTTAGTCTTAAGAAATTTTTCATCGCTGATGTATTAAATTATAAAAATTGACAAAATTATCTAAACTATTTTTAAATTCATAAATCACACTTACAATTACACAAACACACACACACAAACACACACCTCTAAAAACCCAAATGGCAGAATCCTTCATTCGCTCGTACAGCACGTACTATTGGTACATGCTACCTATTCTCTACGTCCTAAGGATGGTCAACGTGTGGCTGACAGTTATGCTGACTGTGGACAGGTACCTAGCCGTCTGCAAGCCATTCTACATGCTCGTCAATGATAGGATCAAGAAAACGCACTACTGCTTCGTCGGCATCGTCCTCTTTTCCATTGTATTCTCCATACCTAGATTCTTCGAGGCAGCTCTTATGTAAGATTTTTAAAGTTTATAGTTTGATTTTTAGTGTACTTTTGTAACACGTTCGTCTCTGTTGTGATGCTTTTTTTCTGCTGTTATTCTATATTTCTATTTAAAAAAAGTCAGAAGCTAACAAACGAACATAAGATAATTTATATCCATTAAAAATCAATTTTTCCGAAAAGACACTATAGACATTAAACCTCTGCAGAAACAGATGTCTGAATTGGACGAACATTTACGAGAAGCCAACCTACACCATCCTCTACGTTGACATCCTCTTCACATTCTTCCAGTATTTTCTTCCGGGACTGATCATGTCCTACCTCAACACCAGAATCATCATCACGTTGAAAAAATCAAACACCTACAGACTGAGCCATATGAACGGTGGTTCATTCTACTCGACAATTAGTTACGTCAGTAAGAATCCGGTTTCGAAAACAAAATCCCACAGCGCTAATGATTTGAAGAGGTATCCAGAAATTAAGAAAAAGTCCACATTAATTGCTTTTCAATCGTCGAAAATCGTCACGAAAAATGTCTCGGTTGTCGTGTGTATATGTGTTGTATGCCTGATCTGCAACATGACAGCCCAAGTTATGTACTCACTGCAGAAAGGTTTGTTCTTCCGATACGGCTCCTACGTTACCGTCTGTAAGATAGTTACACGCTTTAGTAATATTCTCGTCACGTTCAATTCCGCTTCTAATTTCGTCGTGTTCTGTCTCTGTAGCAAACATTTCAGGACGATTTTGAAGAATTGTCTGATGAATAACACCAAAGTTGTTCACACCTGCTTCAATAATTTGTTTCTACGCTGTGCTTAGATTTTATTCTCTTTCTCTCTCTCTCTCTCTCTCTCTCCCTCCTCTCTCTCTCTCTCTCTATCTTATTTTTACATTTTCAAATAAGCTTCTTTTTGAAATTCCACTCGAATGTATTTTTTCCAATGTTTTTATTCTGTTGTGAATTCATCAATAATCCAATTGTTATTAATTATTTTGTCCTATAATTCACGTTATACCGGTAAATTAGTTTAAAATATTTGTTATTATGTTGAGTAGGTTACAAAAATTATTAGCAATATGTTTTTATATTTGAAAACAAACAATTCTGTTGTATGTATAAACAATACTTATTCATTCATCTGTTTACGTTTTGCATTTCTTAAACATTTGTGTGTAACTAAACATGTTATAAACCTTTGTGCATATAAAAGCGTTTAATAAATACTTGTATGTAAACATTCTATTAACATAATTGTATAAACATTCATACAAGTTAGTTTATAAACATTTCGTAAAACGTCATTATATCTGAACATTATATAAAACTTTTTGTATATAAATAAACTATTTATAAACCTTTGTATATAAACATTTTTTAAACATTATTGTATATAAACAATTCAAACGCGTATGTTAATATATAAACCTTCAATAAACATTTATATAATTAAACATTTCATAAAAATTTTATTAACAGATTTAGCGTTTAATACAATTTTTATCATGTTTTTTTGACATTTACTGGAATGACGTGCATTTTTATAATTTAAAAAAATGAGTTCTCGCAAAAAATGGATTATTGTAATTGGTTCATTTGAATAAAACTGTTTCAACCTTTGTTAAGTTTCTTGAGATCAAATGAGCTTTTTATAAATTCTAGTTTCAAGAAACTCTACCCGGACTATTTATTAGTGTTAAATAAATTACCCCATTCAATTTTCGGTGGTCATTTTTTGTATGTATATATATGGAAATTAATTC